TATCTCCTCATTTCCGTTGCTATTTGACTGGTCTTCCAGGTCTCCCAAATTGTCTGGACGTTCCATATACCTATAAAAATTGTTGCGCTGGTTGTTAGAAGGGTCATTGGCTTCATGGCTTCCGAAGGAACTCGGCTTTCACCATGAGGCGTCATATTTCTTTTAAACGAAGACCTTCTAACTCCTAGGGCAGAGTTTAAATGGTTTGAATTATTTTTTCTGGTTAGCGTTTTTTTAGCGAGTTAGTTTTCTACGGGATGGGGACGCTAACCCCATGCTCAACCCTCCTCCTTCATCCGGGCTTGGGACCGGCAGTAACTCTAGGAGAGCTACAGGCGGAGTTTACCAACTAACTTTGTATAATAGACTAAGACACATAGAGTAAGATCATAAGGATAAATGTGAACTTTGTGTAAAATACTACCAAAAATAAAAAGTGACTAGTACGCAGAAAGTTTACAGTTTTTCAAAAGCAGTAGATTACCTATTTACAAATAGTTTGTATAAGTTCTCACTGAAGTCGGTCTTTAAGTACAACTGAACTTTGTTTATTCCTATAAAATTCCTATTCGTTCAGCCTCGATAACTTCTATGAAGGTGCACAGCATTAGGTTCTTGGCAGCGCTAGAGTGAATATATATAACAGGAGTACATTGTATTAATTAACAATCTTGTGTTGCAGAGTTTTATTTGGTCCATCTGTTGGTGACATCACCTTTCTAGTTGGTTGCATAATACTGATAAAAAGTTGAGTGTTAATTATTGCTTTTGAATAAAAAGTTGTATATTGTCCATTTCAGTTATTCGTTCTCTCTTAACAACCGCACTGGTTATTTAATAGTTTTTTGAATTCCGGATAATTACTCAATCAACCAAATCTTTAGATCGTAAATTGTATATCATTATTTCATCATTTTATAAAGCATTTCATTCTTTGTATATTTCATACTGGTTAACTCATTTCTATTAATAAGTTGTATTGCTTTTCCATAAAGACGTATCAACGATGCAGTTACGAATCATGAATTATCGTGTCTTGATAAGCCAATTTCAAATAGTCATGTATTATGTCACTTAAATTCGAACGATAATCTTCACTTGGAAAATCAGCTTGTTCAATTTAATAATCAAAATATTATACTCAATATTTTTTCAAAAGAAAATCAATGCTCACTAATGCATCACTATATAGACCTAATTGAAGAGATAACTATATTGAAGAGAAAACAAGCTGATTTGTTGAAGTTATTTTGTAATGAAATGAATAATACAGTGTCAATGAATTATGCGAAAAATGATTTTCAGTATAAATTTCCTATCAAAGAAATTATCCAGCATTTTGTAATGTATAAGAGTTCTTCAAATTAAAATAATTGAAGGTTAGTTTAAACAATTACCTTGTCTTACGTAAATGTTTTGCATATCGATAGAGATAGAGATTTATTTAGATAGCTGGAGATCCTTTGAAAATCAGAGAACACCGGACAATTACTTTATTTCTAGTTTAAAACTTTTCCATAATACACTATCTGTATCCAATCACTATTATATGTGTTTGCAATGAATTTCATAAAAGTTCAAGTTGAAAATCTGTGATCAGTAAATTTTAGCTAGAGAAGTTGGGAATGGAAACCATTGAATACTAACTCAATGTTTTTGAGGGGGAAAGGTTCACTGTGAGATCCAAAGGTCTGTGTTTAATTTCTCACAATGCTGTTGATCCGCACTACTGAGAAATCCCTTTTTATGACGAAACAGCTATATAGTGGCTACTTGGTTATTTGATAGTTGTTTAACCAAGGTAAGCCGGTGACATAGTACTTTAAAGTCAATGCAATTAGGAGTGAAACGATGTCTCACGAATGAGATTAGTTAGAGAACAATTTATATGAAAAATCACCTGAAGTTAGAGATGAAAGCTGACGATTACCTACTCAGTGATCCTAAACACATGGCGTTCATCTGATATTATATTTCTAACGGGGTCACTGCTGTGGAATTTTAGAAAATCTAAAACAAGTACGACGTAGCTTTCAACTCTTCTGACGTCACTAGTTCCATAACTGATATGTCAGTTCATGACTTGAATCATCCAAAAGTTTTTCATATCAATAGTTATGCATAAATATATATTTGCTCCTATCATTTAAATAAGAAAAGAAGATAATGTATTTTGTTTGTTTTAAGACCAACCTAACCACTAAGTACATTCATTCAATTAGTTACAAACAATGTAACATTCGGCATATATATCTATCAGTATAATTCGCCACATTATATTAGTAAAAGGAGACAAAATTATCAAAATTAATCGCAGAGTATTAGGAACAGTAACAATATTAGTGATAGTATAAGAAATTAAAAATAAATAATACGGTCCAATATGTGTTTAAAATATCCATGGAATAGAAAATACAAAATGATTTTTGAATTCAAGGATATTAAGGAAGGCGAAAGGTTTATAAATTTAATCTGTTTGTTTTTAACATTCAAACGTGAAAAAAGAGAATGTATTCTGTTTTAGGATCAACCTAAATATTCACTTTAATTACATTTTGGATAGATACTATTAATTAATTAATTTCAATTTCTTACCACTAAAAGAAATTGATTGGTCAAATTGACTGAAAAGTTAGCATCATGCTTTAATGATATTTCATTCTAAGTTTCAAAGGGTTATATTAGTGTTATGTCCTTACCTTACACGATTACCGCTAATAAGATTGCCAAATTTAGATACGAGGACTTACGCAACCCACAAATGGCGCATACACCTCAGCTTACAGCCTGGAGTCCTGATTGGTCATTTTTCCTGCTTCTTAAGTCCAGAACACAAATCTCAGCCTTGGCGATATGGTTCATGTATTTAAAACATACTGAGTTTATATACAAGCCAAACAGATCACATCACATAAGAAATAGAAAATAAAATTTGTACAAGATCAAGCGAAAATGTGGCTGTGATTGATGGAGACTAATTAATAAACTGGACATAACTTAAGAACGGTAAATCTTACAATCATAGTCTATGGGTCAAAATAAAGCTTATAATAAAAGGAAAATGAATATACATAGTTTAGCTAGTTAAAAATTATACAATATATATATATATATATATATATATATAGTATTAATTCATATATAGATCCCAACAATTACTACTCATTAGTCTTGTCGGAATATAACAAAATGAACAACACTAATTCTGTATGTATTGTCTGTGCTATATTGTGGCGGGAGTTTTTTTCCCAGAAAGTTGTAAACTTATATTTTAGACTGCAACTATCTTTGATGGATCTTATAAGTTTCCTTGCCAAGTTATAAACACGGTGGGGATTATAAATTGTCTTCATTTCATTTCACACAGCAGTCATTATGAAAAAATATTCATTTGATTTATCAAATTGTATTAAAAGCAAATATCAAAGCAAACTGTTCTAATGTTCCAATGATCATGACAAGTAGATACGACACTGAAAAAAATAATTTACATTTTGAGACATGTAAAACTTTGTATAAGTATAGAAATCATTTGAGGCTTTTCTCCTCCAGTTAAATAAACAGATTTCCACTTTAGTACTTTACTAGGCATTGTTTCAATATTAATAAATCCCATCACAGGCATGTATACATTTTATGTCCGCTGTCAAATTTATTATTGTTTGATAGTTTGTTTTAAAGCTGTAATAATATAACTAAAATATAAATAATTGAAAATGTTTTTTTTATTTCAGCCATGTCATATGCTGTGTAGTTGTAAATTTAGTGAGTCAAGTTAAGATTTACGTGTATGGAATTTACAACAATATCTGTTACATCATTAAAAACATATACTTTCTATGTCTTCACTGTTAAACATAATATTTTACTAAAATGTTTCTTTTAATGTACAGTTTCGTTGTTATGTGATTTTTAAATTGTTTTAAAAATATATTACAGACAACAAAAATAAAAAAAATACTTTCTACATGGAAGCATGATTAGTTGTGAAATTTCTTTCTTTTAATACACACTATTGATTTATATTCAGTAACATAATGTAAAGCAAAAAAAAAAAGAAACAGTGGAGAGAAAATTTCCGTAGTTAAAATAAAACATGATAGATAGTAGAAAAAAATACTGCTTTAGTCTGTATTCATAAATAACCTTCATCGAAAGTGATTTGTTACTACTAATTTTACCTGTGAAGTCTCTTAAAGGATAACAATCACTAAAGTTTGAGCACTTTATACCAAGCATTATACATTAGGTGGATGGAAGTAAACAATAGTAAATCTTTTAATTGACTCATTTTCAATCCATAGCGGAATGTCTAACTGACTCTCCAGCCAAGATTGTTCTGTATACGTAACACATCACTTCAATGAGAAAATATCTTGTTATTGGGAACTAATCTGTCTGATGATTTTAAGTAATATGTTAGGACTAAAACCATCCTATTTTAATTGTGAATTTCTGTAACACAATCATGTTAGCTTGAATCCAAAAACGTATTTAGTGTAGTATTTAGACACTAAAAATAACATTTATAAGGGTTTCAAAAATAAATTTATAAAAAAAACAGAATTGTTGCTGAGTCCGTTTTTACTTTCAAGGAACACTTTTGAAATAAAAATTCAAAAGTAAGGAATACATCCATTGCCAAGATCTAAAATAAAGGTAAATATTTCGTCAAACCATTATGACTTCCTTTTTTTATAACTTGGATTAACTGACTGGTAATAATTGAGCTGACGGATTCACTAGTACAAATGGTTTACAAATTGAATAAACATAATTATTCATCTTGACCCTGATTTTCTAAAGAAGTTAACATTTTCGTTGAACTGTTGAAATTGATTATAAGAGCTATGATTAGTCGACAGCATGATCATATATTTTTATACAAAGCATTCTGAAGTTACTGTTTGCCATTAGTTTTTATTTCCTCTATGTATATTCATTAACCATACTACAGAATGTACAATCTTGCAAATCATCCTTTTCAAATGATAATCATACTATGTTTGATGGATTTGTTCCAGTGTACACTTGGTGCAAGAATTTGTATGTAATTCAATCGGTTCAGTTAAACATTTACACTGATATGGGCTTGTTATACTGATACATTCTTTTGATGAACGTATTCTAGACATTGAAGAAGTATTATTTACGTACAAACTTTTTATTTCATGCTTGTAACATGTTTGATTCGATTGATCTTTTGATGTTCTTTTACATTTACACTTCATAAAGTAAGCTATAAATTTATTTACAATTGAATTTGGTAACCAAAAGCTGCATAAAATAATTTGTATACCAATCAGTGTAAGAAATGCAAATATAGCTGGGACAAGTAAAAATTTATATTCTTCCCAGTCTATTGTTTTTCCTTTGATAATAAAAGTATGATTTCTGTATGTGACTGAAGATTCTAAAACTAGTTTGGTTTTTGAATGGTACTGTAACGTTCTGTTTACAATAGGCACAGCTATAAAATAAATGAATAAAAAGGACAATAATAAATTTGTTTATTTTGTTTATGTACAAAGAAATTAAGTTTAGTAAATAAATATATAGCTCTTTATGATATTGTTTATCTCATTACATTCTCTCGGATTCTTTCAAAATTTTATCACTATTGGAATCATATCTGTTTAACTAGGTCTAACGGTATCTGTTATGCCTTGAACTAAAATTCTTATATATACTACGCACAACTAGAGCACTCGAACACTAGGACCCTTCAAGTTGCAAATGAGAAGGCAGAAGACAAGTGAAAGGAATGCTATTCTAAACAGTGTTATTTATGGTACAAAACTATCAGGTATTTAGGGTTTTTGAGTAAAAACAAAGTCATCATTATAGTCATTCAATCTGAATACAAGGGGGTTATTAGCATTTGTCCAATAGGGAAGCTACTCGTAGAGGTTTTGGAATATTCTTTCAAAAGATGATTAGATGGAATATCTTCGTCTCTTTCTGAGCTTCTTAGAGCTTCCTCGGATTCACCCGTGAGCCAACCGCACGTTATCAATATACTGAATGTTATTATAAGAGTACACATTTTTATCAAGTACTTTGTAGTTACCAAAAAAATTTCATTTAAATATTTTAGATGCATCAAAAAGACTTCTCATTCGTTCATATTTCTACATGTGACATGATACTGTGTGTTGTACACTGAAAGTATAGACAAACAATTTGTTAGTTAGTCATAAACTCAAATTGTAGTTTCCAGTTGAATTCAGTTATATTTAGATTGAAATGTTCAAGGAGAAACTTTTTCATGTCAAGATGATTGCAGCAAAGATGTACTGTAGTAATGGTAGTAGGGTCAAATTAGTTAAGTCTTTTTGAAAATATTAATTATGAGGTAAACATCAAGGCTTTATCAATTAATCATTTTCAGTAGCACGTGTTTACTGACAGCAGTTCGGTTATACAATAATCATTAGGTAGTATTGATGTGAACTCCAAGAATATGTTTATATATATATATATATATCTGTGCAAAATCATCTTTGTTTCAATAAAAAATCGTTCTGCGGAACTTATAAGCGCAGATTAAATATTGTGAGATCTGGTTTGTTATCATAAAATCATGGGAAATTCGACCTGGCACATTATTTAGGTGGTTTGATCTCGTATAGAGTTGAGTTGTTTGCACAAATTGATTAGCGAATACTAACAGACTAGTCATCGCTTGAGTACCTCACGAGTAACGTCTCACAACGAGTGTTGCACATATGTTTTACAAATTCTACTTAACATCCAAACTTAAATCATAAAGCATTAGGTTGTCTAGATTAATGGTTGCATTGTGATTTGGTCGTTTGAATTCAATCAACAATCAGAATTAAGTATTGACGACATTATTTCATTCTCAGTGATATACGTCGAATATATCGTGACTTTACTTATAATCATTTACTCTACTAACATAGATCAGAAAGACTCGACTGTATAAATTAGATGATTCTAGCTATTTGAGAATATATACACAGTACTTGACTAAGTGTTTTAGACCTTACTTGCCATTTAAGCTAAAGTGTATTCATGAGATAATCCTTAAGAGTTTGTTGACGCAAAGTTTCCAATGATAGCATTTTCTTTAGTTCATTGGTTGATTGAATAAATTTCTCTTTAAAAATCTACTAATTTTTCGACCTATATTCAGTTTATGAAAAAATATATAACTTGAACTAAATTAATAAAATCTATGTTTGTAGTGTTAATGTGTTCACTAATGATTGAACTCGACGGTCGCTTCAAAATATTGTAAACTGAGAAGCAACGAGATAGTGCATTTAATTATGTTGATTATGAAACATGTATCATCTGTTACAATCGATGAAGATTTCATTATATTGAGAGTAGATTAAAGTCAGAAATGTGGAGCACTATATGCCAGCTATTTAGTGATATAGTGATATCACTATGATGAAATTGTTGGTATTCATTTATAAAAAGTAACATATTACAATCAAAATACTGTCCACTGCTTCGTGATTTCCAACGTTCATGATTCAACTTGGAAACTGTTAATTAGCAGTACAAAATAAATGTTTGGTACATATTTGTATCCAGCAATAACTTGAAATAATAACACAATGTTGTATAAAATTACAACCCAGAATTTAAACTTTAATAATTATTATCAATTTAACTTACATTTGTTTTGATCGATTAATTGCGTTTCTGATATAAACGATTTTAAAACATCAGAAACAGGAGAATTATTTTTATTATTCACAGAATTCTTTGCTAACTTGAAACTTAATCGGATGTTATTTTTCTGACAGGTAAATGAATGAGCTATAAAAAATATATATATAATACGTTTAAGAACTAAGATAATTGGGTTATTCAGGAAAATGAACACTTTTTGTAATTAAAATATATTTGATAAAGATATGAACTCCTTAGAAATGTTACTATTTTTTATTCTATCCAATATATCCATATATTTCCCTTTATTTAACTAAAGTTTACTTCTCGTACGGGTGCATGAATATATACCCCCACTAATGACATCATAATGTATTGGCATTATAGAGCTTTTTAATATAAACTATCGTATTATGACTAAATAAAATTTTAAAAACCATGAACAATTAAATGTCTTTTAAAAGTATAAATTAACTTAAGCAAAATTCACAGGATTTATGTTTAAGTATTTAAGTATATTACTTTTGATAACTAAAAGGAAATTGTAAAATAGGTTAAATTAAATGTAGCTAGAGTATTAAATTGTTTTTAGATGATTGTGTTTGGATTCGAATGAACTGTGTCTGTATCTCAGCAGATTGAAAATATGCAAGATACTCAAAGTTGATATATTGCTTGTTGAAACTTAGTTTTTATTTATTTTATTTGAACACATAGATATTGGTACAAATGGCACCAAATACATATGCGCCACACAAATCTCATTCGATTTGTGAGAGGGCTGTGATACTGCCCGGGTGCCCAAACCGAATCAGGTGGTTTTCTTCAGGGACCACACCCGGAGCCTTCGACCTGAAGGTCTGATACACAAGGCAGTGGAGCAAGGTAAGGAGATGCAGTCCTATGGTAGCCGGTGACCAACGATTGGTTCATACTCCATTTGTTCCCTCAGGATACTGGAACCCATGTGCACCATTGGTTTGGAATCAGGATTTCCCAACTGCAACTTAGTATAAAAAATAAATTTATATTTAATCAATATATTGTAGGAAATTAGTTGGACTTCATAGATTCATTTAGACAATGTTTCTCAATAGTCAATGTAGGTATATCTAAAGTAAAAATGATATGTCCCGATAAGAATAATGAATGGTATGTGTTAGGATCTATTTATGAAATAATACTATACATATATTTTTATTGTGTAATTGTTAAGTAACTAAACTATGTATATTCATGTTCCTCTTATTATAAGCTTTATTTTGACTCATAGACTATTATTATACGATTTACCATTCTTAGGTTGTGCCCAGTCTATTAATCATAGTCTTCCACATTCATAGCCACTTTTGGTTAGATCTTATAGAAATGTTATTTTCTATTTTATGATGTCATTTGTTTGGCTTGTGTATAAAGCCAGTATGTTTTAAATACATGATGTATATCTCAGGGGCTGAGATTGATGTTCTGAACCCAACAGGCACTGCTAGTCAGGGAGAAGGACCAATAAAGAATATAGACTACTGGTACGGGTTTATGAGTCGTCGGTCAGTTCGATAAGTCACTGTTCTCTAATTCGTGGTATCATTACGTTAAACATTAATAGGGCACAAGTTATAACAGAAAATCATATTTTTTAAGTATACATTATTAGAAACACTCTATAATCTTAAAAGGAATAATCTGAAATTACTTGCACTTAGCTTCTGCATAGACTATATTATCGTGAATGCAAAAATGCATCGCTTCGTCATAACTAAGTAATTCAGAAATTAACTTAAGTAAACTATATTACTTATCAGTAGTTATTGTTAAATTAGAGAATTTTCATGGTTCGCATGTAAGAACGTGCCCGCTTTTTTTCTCTGTCGATATTATTAGTATTTATTCATCAACTTTAAAACTCATTTATTTTCCTAGGTAAATACATTCAATACGAAACATTTGTTGGCGACTTCCTGAATGGATTAAAGCAGAAGTAAAATCTATGTACAAGTAATGATACGGGATTCAAACTAAAATTAAATAATAGCTCTTCAACTTTAAACGAAGTATTACATTCTCTAGGAGTCATTTTACTATTAGAATCAATAAAAAAAATATAATCTGTCGTTTCATATTGGTTTTATATGAAATATATGATCGAATAAATAATAATAATAATAATAAAAAGAGAACAGTTTGTCCGTACCTATAAAGTGTACAGGTATATTGTAATCAAAACTAGGAAGTGATGTGATCTCTGGGAATCGACTAACTTTAAGTACAAATTCACTTAATGATTTATTACTAAAACAATCTAAAAGTTTAATAACTTTTATTGATATTGTTTTATTGCATTTCATTTTTACTCGAGGATCATTTGTCTAAAGAAAAAGAAATAGAAATAAAACATTAAATGAGTTAATAAATCAAAAGTTAATTGGATTCATAAAAACTCTAAATAGTTATTGTTTGAGTAACTAATAAGTAGAAAGAAATAGTATTAGAGGAAATTAAATATTATGAAACGTTTCCGACCTTGTGACCAATATGGAGTGGTAATTCTTTTTGATCTAATAAAAAGCTTTGGACATGCGGAGTCCAATCAAATCAAAACAGATCCTCAGCTCTTCATAGTATTTACGAATTATTTGACTAATATCAATTTATAATGTAAACCATAATATTCAACAATTTTTACAAATCTCATTGTATTCATAATATAAATTGGTTGAATTTTATGACAGTTCAATTGTCATGATTGCACAATGGAGTGACAAAAGTATTTGACTAAACACTACTAATCTAATAAAGTTCAACATTCAAATCGAATAGATTCTGAAGGACTAAGCCATTAATTCATTAACTGAATACATGAAAATCATATTTGCAATTAAAGCTACTATATAAAATAAACTTTTTTTGAAGAAAAGTTTTATAATTTCATTCGTTGAGATCATGAGTCAATTGAAGTTAGACCACCATGAAAAACCTGGAAGCACTGGACTATGTATATACACATGAATAATTAAAGGTAGAAATTAAAATCTATGAAAACATGATCAAGAGTTATTCTTTTATGTTTAGTTCAATACTTTCCTGATAAAATGATATGTAACTTGTGAGAAACGAATGTTGTGAATATTTAATGTTCACTTCGTATTTTTGTTTAAACTCATACAAATTGTATTGAATTAATTAGGTACTACAACTATTACTTCATTATCACGTGAATATAAATAGAGCATAATGGATAATGAATTCCCCTATTCTAGGTTTCATAGCTGTAGAACGATTTAAAGAGTGACAGACGGAAAAGGGATTTCAATAATTTATACAGAATAGATTTGTAAGAACTCAATGCAGAATATTTTAAGTATCTCTTAAGATACTGTAGCCGTAAAATTGGGATTTGTGTTTATCTAAATTATTAATCACTGATTCTTTGAATGAGTTCTATCGTGTTAATGGATTTGAGATTAAAAAGAAATAAACTCATATATGATCATGTTGGTCATTCATCCAGCATTGCATTCATGTATTGCGCTGTACATAAAGTAATCATTATGTCAGGTTAAAAATTCTGTTTAGTTAATTTTTTCCAAAAACGTATTAGCGAACCTTACCTAACGTTCAACAAACTACTCTTAATTTAAATGTTGAATAAGCAATCATAAAACATCAAATGGAATTGATTCACGGAATTACTCCTGATATACTCTGCTTGTGTTTTATAATGAATGAATTTTCTTAACTGTATGACAAACTTTATACAATCTAAGTAGAATTATATACATGAAATACCTTAGGGAATCTCAATAGTTATTTGTTTTTAAATATGTTATTCTGAAGTAATACAATTGTAAGTTTATTGTAAATTACTAAATAAATATACAAACACGACAGTAAAGACCACCAAACAATTGATAATAGTTCACGTTCATGCATATTAAAGGTTTTGATGTGACGTAAAACAAGTTAATTGAGTAATTACATCGTTAGTCATTTGTTTTAGTTTAAGCAGTGAGACTATAATTTATGGACGAACCAATCACGTATAAGATAACAGAGTCTTGGATTTTTCATTCATCCATTTGGATAAATAGAGTTTTACCATTTTGGCTTATGTCAGTTCGTGATGAAAACCCGAAATCTAATTCCTAAGCATAATCATCAACTGTAAATTATAATTATAATTCCTCACACAGGTTCATAACCCCTCCTGGTTGTTAAGTGGATACTCTCAAGGTCAGTTAAGCGTCGCTCAAATGTCGTCCATAAATTATAGTCTCACTGTTTAAGCTGTTCTTTATTTCAGACATGTGTTTTACAATGATCACACTTATGAAAGTTTTTCTTACAATTTTTATTACTTCAAGGTTTACTAAGTTATCAGCAAGGTGTTTTTAAAAAAAATTGCTTAGCAAATAAGAAAACCTGTTTGTTTGATCATTAGTGCATATGTCACAGAGTAAGCAATGATGACGTCACGATCACACGATAGCTCTCTAAAAAAACAGGAAATCACCAGTAAAATTTATTGCTGGTAATAACTATACACTCATGATAGTAAATAATATCAGCACAGCTAAATGAGATTTCTTTTGACCAGATGAGACTTGACATTCAACTATTATTCTGCTTGATTAAGTAACTTGAATAATTTGGTAACAACTTTCAGCAATAGAAGATTAATATGAAGCCTACAACTTTTAATCAAGTTTTTGTTAAAATTTAACCACGGTGATTAGTATTTTGACTGTGCCAGACTATAATATCCCCATATTTTGAGTGAGTTTGTTTCCCTTCTGATCTATTCTGTAAAAAGTGTTATAATGTCACTATTTCCTGATGCTTTGTTTAAACACCTGATAGGGTTGTGAAAACAAATTGGGACTATTTATATCTTCTTTTTCCTGTCAAAAGTCAAAATAACGGTAATTTTATTCATTTACTATATTTTATGTTGCTATTTTATTGTTTCAGTTCAATTACTTCCTGTAATAAACTTTTAAAAATATTGAATAAGTGCAAGGCATTTGATTACGAACTTAGCGAAAATATGTTTCGATTTATATCTTTTTATATAATTTTAATGTAGAGTCACATTATATAGTTTAACTACCAAAATACAGTCATGAGAATATACAGTTTCTGGATAATAACTATGCTGATTATCTTTAATTCGTCGTTATTATCAAATTGTGTGCGGTAACCAATACACTAATTCGACATCATACCACTTCTTTCTTCAACAAATTTCAATTAAGGCGTGATAATTTCAAATAAACTAAGGATTGGGTAGAAAGTTATAAATATAGTTAAACATTAACACCGTTGAATGCCGGCTCAGTGGTTAAAATGTTAAGCGTTCGCGCCCGAGGCCGATAGGTCCTAGGTTTCAGTCCTGTGAACAGGGTCGTGTATGTGCACTGCTAAGTCTCATGCTGGGGTGAAACGGACATTCAGTGCTCCCAGGTTTTCCATGGTGGTCTAGCTTTAATTGACTCACCAATTCAGCTATTAAAAATAATATATTTGTGATATCCCAATGAATAGAAGAATTAAATTTTCTGACGTTTCGTAGTTCAGTCTAAACCATTTCTTCAAAGAATAAATAACCAAATTAAATTTACACAAGTTTAAATAGTAGAAAGGAGCAAAGCAAGAATATTAGGTGCGATTTGTTCTACGGGATTATTAGGTGGTTTCTTTGTGAACCTAAGATGTCCTTTGGATTGAGTTAAGATTTCGCTAGACGACTCTCCAATATAGGATGTGTCGATTGTGATACCTTCTATAGACTACAAATGAAATCGGCAATAGCACTTCATTCCATTTTCAACAACCACCAAATCGATATTAAAAACATAAAAATGATAAGTAAAGGTGTTTCCAACTACAAAGAATGGTGAGTAGCTGAAGCTTTCCATATAATGCTTAATTTTACAGCCCTTGATACGAAAAAAGCCTCACTATCCGTCCGATTTGGACTATCTATTCAAGTTACTATCTCTGATTCTATTCACATTTTACACTATCATCGTAAAAACAAATTAAACTCCATCCTTTCTCACCACAAATGTCACAATTTTTCATCCCTTACCATACATATGCACACACGCACAAATTTACAAACATATCTCATATAAATCATCTTGACCAGAATGACATGACATTGATTTGATCAGACCTGTTTTTGATTGATCACACTTAAAATTATTGCTTTATTTCTTCGTATTATTTAAACTTGGGTAAATTTAGTTTGGTTAATTATTCTTTGAAGAAGTGGCTTAAACTGAATCACGAAACGTCAGAAAATTTAATTCTTCTATTCATTGGGATATCACAAATATATTATTTTGATTCATTTAATTAGAACTTTATTTTGTATGTAAGGAATACTTTACATTACATATCCAATTAAGTGCAACCATAAAAAAATGTAGGAATAAATAAGATGTCAAACGCCAATATTTTAGCTTTATGTTTTACGTTTTATCTTCAATAAATCTCCTCAGTAGTGAAGCACAATCGTGGAAATGGCTCTGAAGAAAGTAAGTATTTACTTATTATCGTTTCCTTCAAAACATATTTTTTATCATATTACTTCAGAACTGTAAACCAGATATTTAATAAACTTAGAGTATGCAATCATTTCATTTTTAACCTGTACCCAGCAATATACGCATACTAATATTTGAAAGTGTAGATTTCGAATGGTTCCCAGGTAATGCGTTTTTCTCAACATTTTCATCATCACACTTCTGATACTAGATATATAAACGTTTATTTTGGAGTAATTTGAAAAATAGAAGTGTTTGTCAGTTGAGTGATTGTTTGAAAATGAAGTTGAAATTATTACACAAAAGGATTGCTTAACAAAATAAACCATATTTCTGTTTTTAGAAATGATCATTTCAAATTATTCGCAGTGCAAGTACACTTTTATGGAACTTTAAAATTAATCCATTCTAACATTATATTCCAATATAACATTAGTGCGATTTGTACTATATTACTCTATCATGTAATTCACATAAGATTAGACATAATAAAAATATGTGAAAATTATATTTGAAATAATCTAAGTGATTGAAATTTAAATAATTACTACGTTTCGTCCAGCTAACTTGTCTGGATTTCTTCAGGGTAATAATCAAAGTCAAAATCATCAAAGAAATATATAGCATTGACAATCAAAACTATATATTTCCTTGATGATTTTGATTATTGTTATTATCCTGAAGAAATCCAGACAAGTTAGCTGGGCAAAACGTTGGAATAATTTAAATTACAATTGCTGAGATTATTTCACATATAATGACTTCTGTCAAACTATTCGTTCTAATCTTGACAAATATACGTATAGATTTATAAAAACAGTTAAGGAAAATGAAATTACCCAGTTAGTTACAATTGATTGATCACTGGGGGGCGATCAATTTCATGTATGTCAGGTCCTTCTTAGTGCAGATCGAATCCTATCGACCAAGTTGCAATGTGGATACGTCTAGGTGACTCGACATTGCGTGCACTGTGTTGAGACAAGTTGATGGTTAGAGGCAGTAAATAGGAAACCCTAGATAGCTTAGTGGCAAAGCCTCTGCTTAGCTGAGTGACACGGGATCGAATACGTCAAGGAGCATCAATTCCCTCAAGATTACAGGCACACCTTGCTAACGAGTGCCAAGTAGCACGAAACCTATTTCCAGGGTTTCCTGTTGAACACCTCTAACCACCATCTTATCACCAGTTAGTTTACTACGAAAATTTTACCTGATTTTTATATAGTAAATATTTGATCACAACATTTTTCAAAAGTTGTTTAGAGTTGGTTTATAACTGTCAAAAAAAGCATGAAACCCTTTTTAGTTTAAATCTCATCGTCATACAAACATTCATTCGCACTTAAAAGTAATATTAATAAAAATTTGAATTATTCTGTTATTTGTATTAAGGATTAAATTTGATTAGCCTTTGTTGGGATATATTCATTCATTTCCATTATTTATTTGTCATTATTTGGTAAAAACGTAATTACGTGGATTCAATTGGATGATTTTTATTTATCTTCGCCTGTTGAAATCCCTTAACTATGTTCATACATAGATTCAGCTGGAATGTTTTAGCTAGTTTCTAAAATATATTCGTTTAAGGTTTTTCAAGCTCGATGCCTTTAATTACTTCGTTACTTATCAAATTAATAAAGCTATTATAACACTGGGAACTTTTACATATAAATATATCAATAAGCATTGTGGTGATTATGAATGCGTAGAGAAATCCCCGAAGTAATTTCAGTGGATGTGATTTTCTGAAATCGTTCAGATAATTAAAACAAAACTGTTATTTGGATATACAGGTTAGCGAGACACTGAAGAAACTTTCGTATGATAAATAAACTCAATATCTCATACACTTAATATTACCCTATACTTTTGTTAAGTACAAAGTTGAAGTTAACACAGAAATTTATGATTAGTGATTGAATAAATTAGTTCATGGCTGTACCTCCCATATTCACTCAAAAGTCATATTCGTTTAGCTATCCTGGGGTTGAATTATTGAGCTATCGATTCTGTCGATTCAGTCACTTTAGAACTTTGTCAAATCAGACGATTACTTAGTACACTATTTGCTTTTCGTTTTGAATACATAATCAGTCATGAAAAATCAATAAATCTCACTTCTCCTCTGAGTTTGTTGGAGAGATAAAATGATTTATATATCATTTCACATAGTGTATTATTTTCATTGTGATATGACTTTAAGTGTGTAAAAATTGTTCTACTTTTTACTAGGACAAAAAGACTGATGATCTGATTTCAATCTCTATCTATAATAATCTATATCTTTCTGTTTTTTCTTAAGTATCAATAACAAGACTTACCCAGTAAAGATTTCGTACATGTGTTCGATTTGGTGAACAAATAAAAATCAAATTATCTCCCTCATTGACATACAATTCATCAGGATTTTCTTCAAATCTATATGAAATAAAACAATATGATTTAAAGGAAGAATAAAATAAAGTAGTATCTGAAGTGTTTCTCAAAGTGTGAAAGTAGAGAAAATATTTTAATTAAGAAACCAGTATTCGTTTATATTGGTACGTCCGTTTTTTTTGTAACAAATACTCAGTAGGAAAATTTAATTATTTTCTTTTAGCTATTGCTTAGTTGTGAAAAGATATCTATAGGTTGGAAGATAATATCAATGTTCCATTGTTTTGTATTAAGTTTGTTTTTGTTGATACCATTCAAGCGCATCAATTTTAAAAGTGAATAGTTTAATGTTGATAAACTTATTGTAGTAGATCACATATATTTCAGTTAGATATTTATTCAAATAAAAAGTATGCTTGATAAACTGAAAATATGAAGAGTTTGTGAACATTTACCTCACTCAGAAGGGGGTTTTGTGGAGATCTTAGTAATTTAGTAGTTGAATTCATGAGTCAATTTAAGTTAGACCACCATGGAAAACCTGAAAGCATTGTACGGCCGTTTTGCCCTAATATCGGAATCCTCAGCAGTGCGTATACCCGATCCCGCTCGCGAGAGTCGAACCCATGACCTATCAGTCTCGTGTGCAAAGGGTTCGAATCTATAGGACGGGTCGTGGATGCGCACTGATGCTGAGTCCCATATTAGGATGAAACGGCTATGCCGTGGTTCAAAGTTTTCCTTGATGACCTAGCTTTAATTCACTCATGGATTTAACTATTAAACAATTTATGTGTTAAAAACAGATTAGGTATGAAAAACAAGTTGCACTCATTTTAATTATGATTTCACAAACTTTATTTCGACAACATTAGGAAAATTATTTGAACAGGATGATTATAAACAAAATAAATTTCATGATGGATATTGATTAGGATCGATTGTTTTAGTAGTAACCTGATTTAAACTTTCTAACAATTTGTAGACAGTATGTTTAATTTTTAACATAATTCTACAAAAAGTATAATTTTAAACATTTAGAATTTGAAATGGTGAATAGTGTTAATGAAGCAAACTGGTATAACATTTTGAAATAGTTACCAAATGTTTTAACATACTGCACTATTTGGAAAACTAGCAATGATTCTCTATAAAATAAAAGATCAAGTGAAATTAATTCTAAAATATTTTTACATCTAAACGTCTCATTTGAAATACGTCTGCTGATTGACTTGATGTTTATTGGCATTTATTAAGAAAGGTGAATTGTCTACGCTGATTTACTAGGGATATATGTTAATATTTACTATATTCTAGGAGCTTCAGTGTTGAAATGAGATCAGCTATTATGAAGCATATTAGTAAATAAGTACTACGCTAAAGGGATATATGGATTTCACACTCAGAGATCATTAGTGTTAATAGTTGGATACGTTTAGATAATCTGTTTTGGATGCATTTTTTCTGTGAACTACCTGTACACAAGCCTGAATGACCGGAGTAGATAAAAATCTTATTACATAAAAATGTTTTGATGCATCATAAAAGATAATTTTTGGGGTTTATGATGAACAGTTTATAGGTGAGAATAGAATTAGAGCATTGTTCATGGACTATTTCGGTTTTTATATTAGTTACATAAAATCCTGATGAATTAATCTTTCCCTTATTCCTACTTGAGGGGAACCTTGAAAGTGATCAGAACTGTGACTTTAAATAAATAAGGTTAAACATTATGGCTTATTCAACTTTCATAATTAGTTAGATGTGTTGAGAGGATGCTATGTACGTGCGTTTTGTATTGATTGACAAGCAACAGGACATTGGATACAGTCTTCAGAGAAATGATAACTAGTTTAAGACTGAAACCGACCTAATCTCGTATCGTATTAAAACAGGTTACCTCTTAGTCAGCAGTAAATAAATGTAGTGATGTAAAGTAAATGACATCGTGAAAACGATTCATGAGACAAGACAAAATGATTTTATCATTTTTGATATAACCATATCATTTGATCATATTATTTGAAATACTTTTCCTGAAGTGCCAAATGTATAAACATTTGAATAATCTACGGCTTTTATATGATAGTTGCGTTACTGACCAATCTATGCGTTTAACATGCACAATTCCAACATTTACATTTGACTATGTAACTGTTCAAAATTCAGTTGCTTATGAAAAATTAGAAAATATTACATTCATTATTTCCGAATATTGATTATTTGTAGATAGACTTTGTAAGAGCTCATAATGCTTTGTTCTCACTAACTAGTTAACTTTTGGTATATTCAGTATTCATTGAAAAACTTTATACCAAACTGATATAAATTAAAACTTTCCTCAGTTCAAAATGTTTTCAAAAATACTCTTCTCACTTTGTATTATAAAGAGTATTAGTTCTTTTTTCTCACAAGCATAAAGAAGAAACATACATTTGTTGTTACCATTCAGTGGTTGATATGTAACTACCTGATAGTTGTGAAGTAATGTTTAACTCCTGAATGTTTGTACTTGAATATTGTCAATATTTAGTAACATAAAGGTGTTATAACGTGTGATCCGCCTATTAGAGAGCAGCCTATTATCGATCGAAACAGTGACGCATAAAATACGTGCGAGCAGCCTAGAGTCCTGATTGGTCCTGCTTCCCTGTCTAGCCCAGCCAATTGAGTCCAGAACACAAGTCTCAGCCTCGGTGATATGAATCATTATATTTCAAACATACTCTGTTTATATACCAAACAAACAGACTACATCGTACCATAAAATAGAAAGTAACATTTGTACGAGATTTAACCTTCAGGAAATGACCCAAATAAATATAGACCAATAGGGAAATGACACGTTGGAAGAATGTTGACCAATGGGGTAATGACGCTATTTCTCATTCAGGAATAGCACTAGATAATTTCTGGGGTATTTTCTGAATACCCCAACAAAAGGTTTCATACTATGTTACAGATTGATGCTATGTATATACTTTATTTTATTTTATTTGAACACATAAATATTGGTGCAAGAGGGAACCAAACATATATGCACCTCACAAAATTTTATTTGTGTGTGGGCTGATACTTCCCGGGTGCCCAGACCGAAGCAGGTGGTTTTCTTAGGGGGCCACACCCCGAGCTTTTGACCTGAAGATCTGACCCACAAGGCAGTGGAGCATCGTGAGGAAATGCAGTCCCATGGAAGCCGAGGACCAACGATTGGTTCATAGGCCATTTGTTCCCTCAGAATACTGGAGTCCATGTGCGATCCGGTTAAAGCACCGGACATTCGCTTTTCGTCCTCTCATTTTCGTAAACAACACTACCGCCACGAGAAGGGAGTAAGATTTCCCTGGCAGAGGCAGTAAACACGAGGTCGTGTGAGAGCATTTTGAGAGGGAGGGTGGGCCCATCCCACTCTGGGCCATACAAGGGCATTTGAATTTATAAAAAACTTTTCATCTTTACTATTCTACGACGTACAATACTTTTCTGTTTTATATAACATTGATAAATTGCGTCAATTAATATTAAAAAAATAAAGGTTAATCAATATTTTGAAGCTAAATTAGATAAAGGTTTAATTTCCCAAAGGGCCCAAGGGAGGGAGACATTTTTATACAATGAAGAATTACTTCATGAATGTCTCAACTTATTTTTTAAATATACATAAATACAATAACCATATAAACAATAAAGTAACACAACTTTTGTTATTTATCCTCAACTCGTAATAAATATTCAAATAAAATTTGATTTTTTTAAGTGAATAAATATTAAATCATTTTGGCAGTCTTGTTGCTTGCCTAGATTTATAATAAATATTAATTAAATCAATCAAAATTATGGTATATACTTGGGGAGGGGGCGGGCGGAAGGCTAAAATTGTATAAACTTTGGTAGTATTTATTTGTAAGTCAGTACTTAACTACTACCAATTATAGTTTTAAAATTGGTATATATAAAAATTAAATATAGTAAGAATGAATGACTCTATTTTTAGATTTTGATAAGAATCGTCGTCAAATTTAGAATAGACATTTCCAGTCGTTGTTGTTGTTTTGTTTTAACTATGTTTATATAAATCACGATGTATGACATTTAATTAAATATGATTTTTATACTTTCATTAACAGTAGTGAACTCGAGAAAATTATTATCTTCACAGATAGAAGTATTTCTGTATGGAACAGAATTTATGACTGTCCATAACTGTTCAGAATTGTTGTACAGGAAAAAATCAACTGCTTTTAATTTATAAAATGTTTTACTTAGTTAAAGGAAATCGAAATGTATATTGGAAATTATTGTTTCAGTTTTCATTGCTACTTTAGGTTTGTGCACATATAGTTTTCTTGATCAGACTATAATTTATGAGCAACTTTTGAGCGATGCCAAAGTGACCGTGAGAGCGTCTAACTACTTCATATTGCTAAATGAGGGTTATAAAGCAGTTTGATATAAGCTAAAATGCTAAGACGCTATTTGACCGAATGTGTGAGTGAATTTTACGCTAAAAATCCAAGACCTGTTATCCTAAATCTGATCGGTTCGTCCATAAATTATAGTCTCGCTGTTTCCTTGTAAAATCAAATAAATAAATCTTGATCGTATTTAGGGCTTCTGTAATTTGTACTGTAAAAAACTATGCAACCATCTACATTGAGCATATGGTTACTTGATAATTTTTGAACGCACAAAGAAAACATCGATATTACACAATTATGTATTAGATTTAAAATATCTGGAATTGAATCTTACCTGTTAACCATTAAAATATAACTTTCATTAGAGTTTGACTTTTTGGAATTAATACACAACACAGAACAATGAATATAAGATTTTTAAGTCGTTACTTCTAGGATTTTTTTTATTATCATAAAAGGTATCTGTTTTTTGCTAATGATGTCTATTTTTTATTCACATTGGTTTAGGAGATGAAATTGTACCTAATTCAGAAAATGTTTTGCTTAGTTTTGCATATAATCTACACATTGAAGCGATTTGTTAGACTTAATCTTACGAACCATATGTATTATACTTTAAGGAATCCAAGTACCAAAAATTAAGTTGAAACAGCCGATAGGTTTTAAGTTAATGATATTCTAATCATAGTATAAGGTATGGGTTTAATATCACTTGATTAAGGCAACAAAAAATTATCCAACAGCTAAACATTTAACTTGGGTGGTAATAACAGAATATTATTCATTGTAAATAAACTCTAAATGTTACAATATGGTGAAATATGCTAAAAGACGGTGTATAAACATGTAATAATTATTGTATGTTAGTCAATTTTGTTTCATTTATCTAGCAACTTCATTAATTCAATTAGAAGCTAACATATTCAATTTAACACTAATTTGACAATATTCAGTTAAAATAAGATGTGTCATTTTTAGTTCAGAAAACAGTCAGAAACAGTATTAAATTGTAAGGATTTTTATTCTAAGTACTGAAAATAATCAGTCCCTGTTGGTAAACATACAACTTGATCAGGTTACCTTGATATTGACGACTAGTCAAAAGTGTTTATCAAAGCTCGAGGCAATTTACTCAGGATGCATAAATATTGGTCGGGATTAATTGATTGCCATTTTTACCTTCAATAAGGAGAAAAACAGGAACACTAACAAGTAAAATTAACAGTCACTGAGAAATTTAGCAACTAATCCAACTTGTAATCACAGTAGATAACGCACTGAAGCTTAAAACCAAAGGTAACAAGTTTGAGTATCGGTATAAATATCAACACTAGGATGCAGACACAACCAGCTGCAGATTATCAGCCAGGAAAACGCCTGACTCCTAGATTTAATTCCAACATTAACAGAAACAGCTTTTGTATCCATTATATAATCGTTGGGTATGCACTGTGATGGTAAGGCGAACTAAGATATTGATATGACTATAATATTATCGGTATATTACAAGTAATATATGTATATGACACTTGATTGTAGTATATGAACAACTGCTCCATGTCATATGGTATTATTGTTTTATTTAAAATCAATAAATATAATCGTACTTGCTTTTCCAGTTCTATGGTTGAACAAGTTTTTAGTTTTACATATACAGATGCATACTATAGAAATTAAAACAAAAACATTGGTAATCTTGTCTAACCAGTTATATATGGCTAAATATTGCTTCACCTAATTTATTTGCCTTAGAATTATCAATTTTTGATTTGTATACTACTAAATCATAAGTAGTTTTATTAATGCCCTATGGTGTATAACATTTCCGATTGATTCTCATCAAAATTTGGATAGGTTTCTTTAGTAAATTCTATATTAAATGGTAACCTAGATTTGTTGATTGAATTGAATAAAAATCTTGGGATAATATAATATATACATCATCTAAAATCGATGTTCTTCAAAAAAACGTTTTGGTAAATAACTTGCAGTTTGTATTGATTTTTTTCTACAAAATAGGGTGTCATTCACAGAATAGATGTACAAATCTTCCGGTCAGTGACTTTTTTCCACTGATAAGTACTATTTTTGTATATTCACTTCATTAAGAGATTTATTTTAAGCCTACGACTGTTATTCACTTGTCCTCAACTAATCATTACTAATTAAATATTTTGACTATTCAGAATAATGCATAAACCTTTGTATATCAGGGAAGTCCTACTAAATGCCTTCTAATGGCGGGGGTGTTGATTACGAATGTTCGCGTTGGTGGATATGTAGGATCCACCTAGGGGGGTTGGAAAATCCAAACCAATAGTGCACATGGGCTCCAGGATCCCGAAGGAGCAAATGGCGTATGAACCATTTATTGGTCACCGGCTACCATAGAACTGCATCTCCTTACGTTGCTCTACTTCCTTGTGGATTAGACCTTTAGGTAGAAGGCTCCAGGTTTGGCCCTCTTAGAAAACCACCCGCTTTTATTTGAGTAAACGGGCAGTGTCAGCCCACACACAAATCAAGTGACATGTGTGGTGCATATGTATTTAGTGCTCCTTTGTACCAATATTTATTTGTTCTATTAAAGTGAAAATTATCTCCTATTCAAACTTAGTCACTGACATTTCTAAATGTAAAACTAATGAATACTGAAAAAAGTATTAAAGATATACAAACAATAATGTTCATATTAGAACTTACATTGAATTACTATCATCCCAATATATTATATGATCTTGATGCTCTGCAAAAATCAATTTTATTAATATCATAATCAATTTTATTAAACATGTCTTGTACATTTAAAATTTACTAATAATTTCAGATGCATTTATATGTGGCAGAATGAATAGGAAATAACTTAATTTCTTAAATTCTGTAGTAAGTTTATTGAAACTAAAACTATATTTAATATACTATTTATATGTTTAAAAAATAACAATACACAAATGATGTGTGATCAGTAAAGTTCTAGGTCATAGCTAATTGGTTAAAACGTTAGAGATTAGTAATAATTAAGTAAAATATGATTGGTTGATAAGCTGATTGGACCATTTTATCAATGTTATCCAATGACTATTGCGTAACATTTCATGTTCACATTTTTTAATATGAAAGGCTTAACCCATAGTTGACAATATAAAATATTAAATAAATTCAAATTAATTTATAAGATTAATGAATCGTTACAATGTTATAGGTTTCTATATCAATGTTACGTTTTTGAAAGGTTTTCAAATTAAATTTTTATGCATATATTTTGGAATAAAGTTAGATGTGTTGCATCACAACTTATTCAATTGTACTATATTATTATCATTAGTTATTGAACAACAAAAATTCTAAACAGAAACTGAAGTATTCTGGTAATCTATGGTACAAGTACTTCTATATTTTTGAACTGAATCAACTGCATCTGTAGTTTATGTGATGAAATTACTGTTTAATAAACAATAAAATCATTTATTTAGAAAACGTTATTTTTCAAGATCTAATTTGAATTGTTCGGTAATTTTATTTTGTCAGAAGGAGTTTCGTGGAGATTTTAGTAATTCCAATAGCTGAAATCATGAATCAGTTGAAGCTAAACCACTACGGAAAACCTGGAAGTACTGGACGGTCGTTTAGTCCTAGTACAGGACTCATCAGCAGTGTGCATCCTTGATCCCACCTCCTGTGAGATTCGAACCCAGGACTTGTCAATCTCGCACGCGAGCGCTTAACCCTAGACCACTGAGCCGGCCGCCATCCAACGGTGTTAATGTCTAACTTCAACCAATCCATGAAATTGTGCCGCCGTCACCATTGCCTTCAGTGGGCTGATATCTCACAATAGACCTGGTTGAACTTCACTGTTCACGGCTTCCCACTAGAACTCCAGGAGAGTCTCGTGAAGTCAGTCACTAGTGAGCAGATGATTATTATTAGAAGGGGTTTTGTTGAGATTTTAGTAATTTCAATAGTTAGAATCATGAGTCAATTGAAGCTAGACCACCATGGAAAACCTGGACTCATGATTTCAATTATTGAAATTTTATTTTGACAACATCTTTCAAATTGAACAACCTTTCCACTGACCAATTAAAACAATGAATATATACAGGTTGTTTATTCAATGATTAGCTGATTACTGAAGGTAGAATGTTATACTTTTCCAAACCGTTGTATTATTGAATGATTATGATTTATGCAAGCGGACCACCTAAAGTAGTGTAAATAATGTAAGCGAGTGACAATAAATCTCGAATCCTTTGACTAAAGAATATCGGAAAGCAAGATAAATTAGTTGATCGGAGATTATATTGTTTGATATAATAGGATCAAACATATATAGAATAAAATTATTGATTAAAATATGTGTTATGTTTAAATGATGATTGAATTATAATGAATAGACCGTATGTCAACCGATTGAATTAGATTTTGACTACTTGATTAAAGTCTTGGATATTATATCAAAAGAATTTATGAGCTAAACTATCTTAAGTAACTATGCTTCTACAGTTTTTACCAGCAAATTACAACATGTAATATACATGAATATGTGCATAAACAGTATGTCTTTAATTATAAAAGTATAATATATCAAATTTCATCTGATATTTAAGTTAAATTGTCATTATCATTAATTTTATAAGCTTTTCAGTAACGAACAATAATTCAGGTACTTTTGTAATTTTTTTATAGTTAAGAGATATTTCAATGATTAAGATCATGAGTCAGTTGAAGCTAGACCACCATGGAAAACCTGGAAGCACTGGACGGCCGTTTCGTCCTATTATGGGACTCCTCAGCTTCCAGGTTTTCCATGGTGGTCTAGCTTCAACTGACTCATGATCTTAATCATTGAAATTACTACAATCTCCACAAAACCCCTTCTGATAATAAGAGATATTTCTTACATTTTTCTTCATATTCTCAAAAAAGTATACTCTCAAATAATTGTACAATATTATAAGTTATATAATTTATATAGTCAGAGCAAATCCATAGACCAGTGAGATTAATACATTCCTCCAATAGTTACCTATGATTTCAGTCATGATCTTACAACCAATTCAAACATGAGTAGGCTTTTATTTGTATCAAAAGTGAATATTTTGCTAAATTTATCTAAAGAGATTAACGAATTTCATGTTCCGCATATTTTTATATTTATACATTAAGTTCTAGGAAATAACACGTAAAATCAGGAAACTTTTTTAAATTTAATGTTAAAATCATCAAGAGATATTTGTATAAATTTCGAATCTCGTGGGCAAGATTGTGGATGCACACTGCTAAGAAGTTTCATACTAAAACAAAACAGCAGTCTAGTACATCCAGGATTTTCATTGTAGTCTTACTTTAGTTGACTCATGAATTCAACTATTAAAAAGTAAAAAAAATGCCTATAATTTATGCACTTACCACTTATACTTCATATAGCTTTAGGGCTTTTTAAAAGTAGACATTTTTTGATTGAATTTTAATTGTATTATAAAGTAATTAATTAACTTCAGTTTAAATAAGTAAACAGGCTTTTGTATTATTTATACTTAATAATTGTCTACAATTAGGTGTTTCAATTTGAAGTAAGAAAAATTTCAATTACTTTTGTTTAATTACATGAGAATTTATTTGAAAGAATAACAAATTACCAAGGTTTATTATTATTTTTTTAAAATTATATAAAATCGTTAATTGACTGTTTGGTTTTTCACTTTTTATTATTAAATTCATCAGGTTTTGGTTTAGTAATTTAATAAATAAAGAAACATTTTAACTGAAGTATATTTATTAAAAGGTTGAGTTTAATTTTCTACGATAAAAAACAGAAATTCGAATTTTAAAGTTTCCCAGGTGAGAATATAATTTGTGAACGACCTTTGAGTGACGCTAAAGTGACCTTGAAAGTATCCACCTAATAACTAGAACCAAATGAGGGTTATAAACCAGTGTGTGGAATTGAAATTATGATTTACAGTTGATGGTCAAGGTTAAGAATTAGATTTAGCCTTTCCTTCATGAACTGACATCAGCTATAATGCCAAAACTCTATTTAAACAAATGGATGAGTGAATTTCGTGCCAAAATCCGAGACCTGTTATCTTATACGTGATTCGTTTATCCATAAATTATAGTCTCGCCGTTACCCAAAACTTAATCAAACTGCAGTTTAATATCTAAAAAAACTTTTTCAAATAAAAACATATAGTTAATTCATTTTGTATTGTTTCTTTGAATCTCCCCATGGGTGTTTAGAACTGTAACTGATTAGTCTCTTATTGACATATGTGCAACTTGTGCGGATTGCCTTAAAATTGCTTTAAGTGATATCCAGCTGATGAGTCCTGAATGATACGAAACGCTCGTCCTGGATTACATTTCTAACCAGCATCCGTTTTTGCTTATTAAAAACAGTTAATTCGTAATTTTTTAAACAGATTAATCTAAAATGATTCTATGTGAGAAATTTTATACTTATGTGAATCAAGCTAGAGTTTAGAAACTTTTGAAAACCGCTAATGTGATTTTGTTTTGAAATACCAAATTACTTTTAAAATTGTGCAATTGTGTAGTCGATTGAAGTTATAATTTTATACTATCGTATGCTTGCTCAGTGGTTTGTAAGCTAAGTATTCGCGTCTGAGAATTTTTTGAAATCTTTCATACTTTGAATTGAGTGTTTCATCAGTATGTCGAAAAGTTATAGATACAAAACAAACCAATGATCATTGTTGTTCAGAATGGAACATGTCATACTACTTATAATTATTTTTCAATTATTTTATCATTAAACTATATACATAACTGTGTGTTAATATTTGTCCTAAAAATCTGGAAATACTAAAAATTTAATTAGCATTCCTTCTTTATTTTTATGAATGTAACGAAACAATAGCTGAAGAATAATGAAATCTTTAGAAACAACTCATTCAATTTTATTTGATGAACAAAATAAACTCCGCTTCTGATCATAAATGAATTAAAAAAAATGGAATCACATAGTTTATTTTTACAAACGACTAAAATTGACATTACTATGACAGTTAAATCGATTTAATAAAATAAAAGCATTCATTACGTTACTGATCTGAAATACTCATCAAATAGAACCACCCTTTTGGTATAAAAATTTGAAATGAATAGATTTTTGAAGATAAAGTCACCCATTAAATGATCAAGAATTTTAATTCTTAAATAATCTATTCATTCAAACTTATCTAATGAGAGACGGATAATAAAGGATTGATAAATTGTATGGTGGAGACCAATCTTTGTTTATTCTTATTTGTGATAGAATGATGTTGTTGAATAAAGGACTCCCCTTTGAACAGATAAGTTGCATTCTGGAATCACATTCTATTTGATATGACACAAACAGCTATACAACAAATGTAGATAAGAAATAATGTATAAAACTCTGTATTTAGTAAATAAGTCACAATTTGACAATATACATGAAAAATTAATGAAATTTACTTAACAGACTAACTTTCTAAATTATGGATTCTATCGTTAAGATTATTTAGTCCTTACTTTTTTCCAAACTGAAAGTGAAGCTGAAATACTCAAAACGATTATTGATAAACACAGTAGTAGGAAATTGTATGTTTTGTCAGCATTTGTAAAGATCTGGATTTTCTTCGTCACGGATTCTAGATGGTGCCTTCATGATACCATTTCACACGAATATTGTGATAAGTATGGGGAATGGTTTAATTAAATACTCATGATCTGAAAAAGACGATAACCACGAACTAATTTCTTGTTCTTTAGAGGGGCCTAT